TTTCGTTTCTCAATTGGATTGTATCCCAAATTAGGCCACTGAGAAATTAGAGGCAGAAGTACAGGGCGGCTAAGTTTTTTGTTTTAAAATAGTAGTACAAAGAATAATTCAATTACAATTTAATTTTTTTTAAAATCAAACTCAGACTGCCTAACGCTGACTGGGCATCCTCAGCAGACATGGAATGCCAAATTTCATCTGGGAAATCAAATCAGAAAATGGAGGATGTTCACATAATGGAGTATGGTGGAATGGGTCATGGCTAACTGGCTGACACTCTTGACAAGAGTACTGCAAATTGGAGATTAAATATAATAATGCAAAAATATTATTGGGCTGTTCACTAGTATTAATATACTAACATATCATTTTTGTTGTTTCCTGCTGGATTAACATGAGTAATATCAATTCTTGAGAGCCTTCTCAGATTCAGGGAATAGATACCCACTTCCCTTGGCTTTGTTCAAAGTCCAAGAAATACACCCCAAACACACACCAACCACCTTTTTATATTCCCCTACTCCCTGACAATTCAGGATAAGTTAGCAAGATGCCATACCAGGAATTTCCCGTTGACCTTTGGCTGGTAGACGCCATTGAAACTGCAAGATTGATTATGGCTGCAATGTGAGAAATTGAAGATCTTCTTGACGGTTTCCCGGCAAAGAGTGGCATTGCCTGTGCCCACCAAAGTCACATTCTTCCGGACCATGGGCACTTCCGGTTGCTTGGCACATGGACTGTTAAAGAGGGATGCTGTCGTGACCGAACTGTTGTAGCCTTTGGGGTAGCAGGGGTGATTGACTTCAGCAGAGGTGCTTGATTTCTGGAGAGAACATCAGAGAATGAAACTACAGGCAGAGTTCAGAAAGCTTTGGACTAGAACTCCCAGAATCCTGCAACTAAGATACCCACCGGCCATGCTTGCTGGAGCATCCTATGAATTATAATCCCCAAAGGTACATTTCACAGATGCACACCAGGACATGTATGGCCAAGCATCATTGAAGTGTTTCCCAAACTTTGGTCATCCAGGTTTTTGGACTTCAGCTTCCATAAGCCCTAGCTAGTTGGGCCAACATTCAGGAATTCTGGGAGCTGAAGTCCAAAAACATCTGGAGGATCAAAGTTTGGGTCAAGATGGGGAAAATGATTAATGGCATAGACTAGGCAAGCTAGGCTGCAGCAGTTTGCTTTTGCCTGAACCAACTAGAAAGGGCAAGATTCCATCCACTCCTCTCTTTTTCCCAGCAAAAGTAATAAAATTACCTTTGATTACACTCAACCAAAGGTAATTGAGGGCAAACTCCTTTGAACTCAGTTTACAGCAATGGAATTCAGCTAAGAACAGAAGAGGAAAGCGGGAGGAGGAGAGATAAACTGGGACATTTTAAAAGCATCTGGAAAAGTGGGATGGCAGAAGATTAACTGGGACTATCCTTGCCAAATGAGACAGTATTAAAATAACCTTTCCAAGCTCTGATTCGCTCAGCCTTGCATCCTCTTTACTATTTCTCTTTGGAAAAAGAAAACAGAATTCTGTTCTTCTTGCTACCAATTGCTAAGATTGCTATGCAGATCATATACTAAATCACTGCAAACTGGAAATTACTAATGCTCCTGGCTTGACTCAAAGAAGTCTGAGAGGTCCTCTTGCTGCCACTTGCTGGCTAGATGCCTTATTGCAATGCACTCCATATATTTGGCCTATCCTCCACTGGAGCAAGATATTGTAAATGAACAAGGTAGTTTAATAGGAGACTGTCCTTTGTTGAGGCTTTGTTGTAAAACATGGTTTGTCTGTGATTCCTGTACTGTCATTACAGTCCAGGTGGGGATTGGGCTGTAAGATTCTTGGGATCCCTTCCAACTTTATGGTAATAGGATCTAGTCCTCCTGCTTATATCTGGTGATTGCTCTACACCACACCTGCTATTGCAGTCCTCTCCCTTTGAGAACCATGAAGATGAGCTCTGGGCATCGGGTGTATTCCTAAACACAGTAAGTTATAAATAACTTGGAACAAAGACTTATCTCGGCATTTCCTTAGAAATAGTATGGAAAGCATAGAACTGACCAATATCTTTTGTAGTTGCCCTGTCTCTTGTCTTTCATTCTTTGTTACATTTGAGTAAAGGTGGATGGAAGCCAGTGTAACATGGTGGATTGAGTGTTGGACTATGACTTTGGAGACCACCTTAGCCATGAAACCCACTGGGCAACTTTGAGCAAGTCACACTCTCTCAGCCTTAGAGGAAGGAAATGGCAAACCTCTATTTGCCAAGAAAACCCCAGGATGGGTTCTCCTTAGGGTTGCCGTAAGTCAAAAATGACTTGAAGGCACACAACCAAAACAAAGGATGTAGAGAGATCTTGTAGCACCTTTGAGACTAATTGGAATAAAGAAGTTGGCAGCATGAGCTTTCATAGACTTAAGTCTACTTCCTCAGATGCATAACTGACCCCATGCTTCAAATTTCTTTATTTCAGTTAATCTCAAAGGTGCTACAAGATCCCTCTACATACTGATTCTACAGAGTAACATGCTATATCTTTGAATTCATCAAAAAAAGTACATTTGTCATGCTCTAGTTTAGGAGCTGTTAATCTGAGAACATGGCTGCTCCAGATAAGTCTGAGAAACACTTCTAAAGACCCAGGACAGGTCTCTGTAGGAAATGTTGAGCTAGATAGAAGGAAAGTACAAGGAACTCAGTATGAGACAGCATGTCTTATGTTTCTTCCTATGCTTCTCTGCAAAATAAAATTTTTAAAATGTCACATTCAGTCCCTGGGATCACAACTTGAAAGGAGAAAGTGGCTGATTTTGTGAACAATCTGTACTCAAGTATTCTGAGTTACCGTATATTTACTACCAAGGTTAAATGGAGAGTAGGTTAAATGGAGTATGTGTACAAACATTTACTTTGTGGGTAGTATCTCCAATTGAAAGAGAATTATTCTGATAAAAAAAAATTACATTAAACAAGAATCCGGGTTGAAGCAACAGCTGGGTGAAAGAGTTTATCCTCTTATGTAGCCAATGGATAATGCTCCCAAGGATATACAGATTTAAAGGTTTGGTTATTGATTGATAGACTATATTCTGATAGGTGTAATTAGAGATATTTATTGCAAAAAAAAGTTAATGAATTGTTATGTAGAGTTTGGCATGTTGCCTTAATGGAAAAGTTAACATCTGTGGTTGAATCAATAAGAGAAAGTAGAAAGGATAACAAATGTTGGGCATTATAATATCCATTTGTTTAGTATGTGAATGCAAACACAGCAGTAACAGGACCATTAGGTCAATTTACTTATCTCTGGTGAGATTTTTTTATTTAAAAAAAATAGATCTGTAATGTGAGTGAAAACAAGAGGAGAAAAATTTGGGGAAAAAAACAGAAGGGATGGATGGACTGCTCACTGTAGACAAGTAACGTCACAATATGTTTTGTTGTGGTTTTGGTTTGTTTTGCATGGAATGCAATGATGTTGGTCTTTTAATTCTTTGTTTGTTGGAGTAGTGTAAAACAAAGTAAAAATGCTTTTTTAAAAAATAAAAAATGAGATACTCACTTAATCTAATACAGTGGTCCTTTGGTATCTGCTGGGATTTGGTTCCAAGATCCCCCTTGGATACCAAAATCCATGGATGCTCAAGTCTCCTTAAATACAATTGCATAGTAAAATGGTGTCCCATATATAAAATGGCAAAATGTTGCATTCATGTCCTGTTTATTGGGGAACCTGGTGGGTCAGAAAGGTAGACTAGAGGGGCTTTGGCCTGATCCAACAGGACCCTTCCTATGTTTGTATATCTATTGCATTGGAAGTTAAAGGATTTGACTTGCAAAAGATGTCTTCACCTGATAATTCAGCTGGGGTTTGGTTCCAGGACCCCAAAATGGATACCAAAATCCATGGATTCTCTCAAGTCCCATTAAATACAACGGTGTAGTAAAATGGTGTCCCTTATATAAAATGGCAAAGTCAAGGTTTGCTTTTTGGAGTTTGCATAGTTTTTAAATATTTTAATAATAATAATAATAATAATAATAATAATAATAATAATAATAATAATAAAATTTATTTATACCCCGCCCAATGGTACACCAATCCGGGCGGCTTACAAGTTTAAATACCAAATACCAAGATTAACTAAAAGCCTGACTCAATGTTGCTTCCATCAATGATGGGGCCACGTGAGGAACATCAGTTGTGCAGGAATAGTTTTTCAAGTTGTGGATGGCTGAATCTATGGATAAAGACTCTGAGGATATGGATGATCAATAGATCATTTTAACTAGGTTTATAGGTATATATAGAGGCAGTTCTTTTAGGGGGATAATACAGAAGAGCACCTAATTTCAGGAAAGGCATTCACCTGCTGGGTGAAGGAAAGTCAGCTGATCCTAGTTGATGATCTACAGGGTCTTGAGACTATTTTTAAAGAGACACAAGTAATTTTCTTATCTGGTTGTGTTGCAACAGTAAACTCAAGGCAATAATTATGCTTTGGTTTTGTAGAATGAGAATTATTAAGAGTGTGCGCATGAGAAAGCAGGAGTTTTGGGCGAGTTATATATCAACTTAATTGAGTTGTATGTTTTTTTTCCTACTGGTTCCAGGGTGGGTGGAATAGGTTTTTCAGGGGGGAAATTTTCTGCCTGTGTCAAAACAGTTTGCCCGGCTTTGAATTAGGGTTGCCAAATGAAATCAAGAGACAGGGCTCTTCTTCCTTTAACGGTTGTGTACCAGAAGGAGTTTCATCAGGCAAAATGCATAGCAAGAAACCTGTTAAAAGTCCCTCTTCTGCATAGCTATTAAAGGGACAGGAGTTGTTGCTGTTGTTGCATGCCTTCAAGTTGTTTCTGACTTAAAGCGACCCTAAGGTGTCATGAGGTTTTCTTGGAAAGATTTGTTCAGAGGAGGTTTCACTTTGCCTTCCCCTGAGGCTGAGAGCATGTGACTTGCTTAAGGTCACCCAGTGGGTTTCATGGCTGAGCTGGGAATTGAACCCTGGTCTCTAAAGTCCTAGTCCAACCCTCTAACCACTATGCCTCATTGGAGCCCTGTCTCTTATTTATTTGGCACCCCTACTTTGAGTACTACACATCATCACACAGGTGAGCTTGGGGACACTTTCCTGTTCTGCTTCAGGCAGCAAAAACTCTTGAACGGGCCCTAACCTCCAAAGTTTTTTCCAACTCTATGGTCCCCCTTATAAAATTCCCTTCCTTTTTAGTTAACTTTCTCCTTGGTTGCATCTCCAGTGCAGAAATAATCCAGTTAGACACTGCTTCAACTGCTGTGGCTCAATGCAATGGAATTCTGGGATCTGTAGTTTTGCAAGTTATTTAGCCTTCTCTGTAAGAGAGCTCTGGTGCTGCCACAAACTACAAATCCCAGTATTCCATAGCACTGAGCCATGTCTATTAAAATGGTGTCAAACTGCCTTATTTCTGCACTGCAGATGGACCCCTTGTACCTCCAGCATGGTTTTTTTCTCTTGGCTTATTTTGCAGAGATGGGCACAGTGTGGCTGGTGGACATCATATAGCCCTTGGGAAATCCCAAGTGCCACCTCAGAAGCCCCAGGACAAAACATTTTTAAAAATTAGGATGATTTTCCCCCCCTCAAAATGTGCCCAAACCACAGCAGATTGCTTTCCCTGACCTTCCAAAGCCACCCAAACCTCCCCAAAACACAAAATGAATCTAAACAATTGGCCAAACATTGGCAAAAATGGCAGTAGGAGGTGATGTCACGTCACTCCAGGCACACTGAAATGTGTCAGTACATTTGTGGGTACAGTACATTCGTGGGTAGACTGAAATGTGTCAGTACAGAAATGTGGGTACAGAGCGGGAAAATGCCCCTTGCCCCTTGAGCTGTTGCCCACCCATGACTTACAATAATAATCCGGATGACTTGAGTGAGGGCTTCGTTTTGACCATAACACAGGTAGCTGTGGGTATAGGTGGTGTAGTCAAACCCGTACAGTCGGAACTGAATGGCTTCGGCTGGGTCAGCGATGTGGCCGGCAGGGACAAAACTAATCTGGGTTGATGCTCCTCCAAGATCTAAAGCCCCCAAGATATTGGCTGATGTGGGGTGAATCCAGTCTTGGTCCTTCGCAGAATACTGTGAAGATGCAAACCAAGAGATCACTAGATTTGAAAGAGACATTTTGGGTAGGAGCTAGGGTTGCCAGGTTGAAAATTGAAGAGGACTCTGTACCTGTTGCCTTCTTATAAAATCATAGGACGTTATCACACGGGGAGTTGTGGGGAGAAAGTGGAAATAAACGGGCACGAGCGGAAGTCTTTAATTTACGGGATTTGTCCCGTTCCGCCTCGTCTGATAACTAAATTCAAATTTAAACGGGGGTTAATTTGGATGCAAACCTGATCTTTTCATTTTTGGGATTTTTGAGGATTTGCAGGTTTTTGTTTGAATTAACCCCCTTTTAAATTCGAATTTAGTTATCAGATGAGGCGGAACGGGACAAATCCCGTAAATTAAAGACTTCCGCTCGTCCTGTTTATTTCCACTTTCTCCCCGCAACTCCCCATGTGATAATGTCCATAGAGTTGGGGGAAGCCTTAGAGGCCATAAATCCACTCCATACCTCCCATTCCATACATTAACTCCAGCTGGAGCAGGGGTAGGCAACCTTTCTCCTTTAAGGTCCAAGGGACTTCAGCTCCCAGAAGCCTCAGCCATGTTGGCCAATAGTCCCATGTTGTCCAATAGCTCCTGGGATTCTGGGAGCTGAAGTCCCTTGGCCCTTAAAGGGGAAAGGTTGCCTACCCCTGAGCTAGAGCATCCCCAACAGGTAGTTGTCCAGCCTCTTTTTAAAGATGTCCAGAGAAGGAGACCCCATCATCTCTTTAGGAAATTTGTTCCATTGCTGAACAGTTCCTTTCATTAAGATGATCCTTCTAATGTTTGATCAAAATCTACCTTCTTGTAGCCTAAAACCATCAGACTTGATCCTACTCTCTGGGGCAGCAGAAAAATAAACCTGCCCTCTCCTCTCTGGGACAACCCTTGAGATATTTAAAGAGTGCCATCATGACACCCTTTAGCTATCTCTTCACCAGGCTGAATATACCCAATTCCTTGAACTTTTCCTCAAATATTTTGTTCTCTATACCTCTTTTTATTCATGTTTTTTGAACCCACTCCAACCGCCATATATACCTGACTGTAAGTCAAACTCATGGATAAATTAAGGGCAGGTTTGGGGGCCAAAATTATGGGGTTTGATATGACCCATGGATAAGTTGAGAGTAAAATTTAGGAGCATGTAATCAAGGATCTAAAACAGTGGTTCCCAAACTTTGGTCTTCCAGATATTTTGGACCTCAGCTCCCAGAATTTTTGACTGTTGGCCAAGCTGGCTGGGGTTTCTGGGAGTTGAAGTCCAAAACACCTGGAGGACCAAAGTTTGGAAATCACTGAATTTTAAAGATGAAGCAAAGGAAAACAATGCCAAAAAATTTACACACTTCCAGCAGGCATAATTGTTTCTGCTAACCCGAAAGGCTGGATTGATGAGAGAGGAGAAGTGGGTCAGTACTTCCAGAACAAATGACTCTCTTGCCTTTTACCAGGGGCTGGTTCCTTTTTTTAAATAAAAGTTAAAGTACAGTACTTACCTTGACTTGTGGATAAGTAGACTCAATTTTTTGGGTCAATTTTTTGACCTAAATTTCTAGATTTATACATGAATATATACATTTATAAATTTAAAGATGTTTGTATCCTGTCCACATATGAATCCAAAGCCTGCCACCATCTGATAGAATAAACCCTACCTGGGTGAAAGAATTCAGAAGATAGTTGATGGTGATCCAGCCATAAGCGCCTTCGTCCTCTCCGGTAATTATTCGAGCACCTTGAAAGCTCACAGGATATTGTCGGATAGTCTTGCCAACTTCTTCCAGTACCTGTTGTGATGCAGATGCATTCTGTTTTCTGCAGGGGAATTTGCAAAGAAAGACCAGTGAATTTGATAGTGGGAGGGCTGTTGGCGATTCAGGATTCAAGGCAGTCAGCTACTCTTTTAAAAGGAGTGGACAAAGTGTCTCCCCCAAGTTCCAAGACATTTGCAAAGCCACCACCATCACCCCCTAAATGGAGCTAAATAGCCCAAAACTGTTGTGGTTTTCCTTGGTTCTGCCTTCACTCAACTACCTCAAACTTCTGATCCAAAACAAGCAGAAAACAAGACTGGAAATGACATCACATCTCTTCTTGGTTTGATAGAAACAAAATTTTACAAAACTGTGATAAGCGTTCTAGGGCTGTTTTGTTTTTTAATTTTCAAATGGTTGGCAGGGTACTAAAATTGCTAAGGTAAATGACCTGTTTAAATATGTTTTCATTTCAGTATTGACTTTTGCCAAGATCCTGCATCGCAGTCTATGCTTTGTAACTTATTGAATCTGTGGCTGCATTTGGCAGGAATGCAACAGAGCCCTGTTAGTGAATTTCCCAATTGCTCCAATGCGCTTTGGTACTTCTGATGCGCACAAGGCACTTCTGGTTTCCACTCGTAACCCTTTTGAATGGGAGAAGGGACACCCAACTTGTTTTTATACCTCAGTAGCCTCATGCCAGCGGTGGCTCCCAAATAAGCTGGGGTCTCCTGTTGCCTTTCTGGGGGTATCACAGCCATGGCTTCGTTCAGGCATTCCCGAAGAGAGGCACCTGCTTCTGGAGGATTGCTGGCATAACTGGATATCCCAGACCCTGAAATGCAAAGCAGGTGAGGTCAAAGAAGGGTTCCTTTGTGTCCAGACAGGTCAAGACAAGCAATATGGTAGGAAGAGAAAGATTTGGAGCACTTAGGGGAAATCTAGACTAGTATTATGCATAACGACCCTATCATAGGGTTTTTGGTTTGTTCAGAGGAGGATTGTCATGGGCTTCCCCTGAGGCTGAGAGAGTGTGACTTGCCCAAGCTCGCCCAGTGGGTTTACATGGTTAAGCTGGAATTTGAATCCTGGTCTCCCAGTGTTCTAGTCCAATACTCAAACCACTACGTCATGCTGGCTCTACCTAAGTACCAAATTAAAATAATTGATCTCAGTTAATTAAGATGCATCTACACTGTAGAAATAATGCAGCTGGATCCCACTTTAACTGCCATGGCACCATCCTACAGAATCCTGGGATTTGTGGTTTTGTGAGTCCCCAGCACATTTTGGCAGAGAAGGCTAAAGATCTTGCAAAACTACAAATCCCAGCATTTCCATAGGGTGGTGCTCCAGCACTTAAAGTGGTGCCAGACTGCATTGTTTTTACAGTGTGGATGAACCCCTAGCCATGTATTTCTCCATTAAATTAGTACATGTTCTACATTCACAGATTACATAAGGCACACATTTCTGTTTACAACGTTGTCAAACTCTGGGATACAAGGAGTTGCAAGGCTCCTCTCT